CTTCAGATACTACAGAGGCCATACCATTCACTAAACCATCAGCAAATACAAGATGTCCCTGAGGGAGAGGTTTAGCATGAACTATTTTTGGAAAAATAACTGAGTGTATCTTTAAAAATTGACATTTATGATTGGGATAATGATTATCAAATTTACTAATGGTAGAACAACAAAACATGCTCCAATCATCAAAATTTTGACTTCAATAATTTAGCTGTTGCTTATTTTAAGGCGTAATAATCCTATCTGGTTCCTTCCCAAAGGTTTATAAACTCAGTCTTTGTGCCTTCCAAATAATTTGCAGAATGGCTATATAATATGCAGTAACTATTTTGGAGGAAGTGGCAGAAGAATGAATCCACATTAAAGGACCATTCTGGCAAAATACCCCCAGTGGGACATGTTTGGAAGGAAAAATTAACAAACTAAATGGTTTCGAATAATCCATATAACATAGGCAAGCCTGTTCTAAGCCTTCCTCTACCAATTTTAGGCACTTCCTTGCTTCTGGTGTAAGTGTCCTAGGAGATAAAGGGGAAGAATCTCCTTTCAAAACATCAAAAAGAGGTTTCAACTGCCCTGAGGTAATTTTTAATGAAGGTCTAAGCCAATTAAGATCTCCTAAAAATTTCTGAAAATCGTTTAGGGTTCTCAAATTATCCATTCTTAGATGTATCTTTAATGGTTTAATTCCTTTTGTAACTATTGATGTCCTAAGTATTGATAAGGGTAAATTTGTTGCACCTTTTCTGGTGCAATAATTAATCCTTGATCTCCCAGAACTTGCTGTAAACAAGCATAAGCTTGTAAAACTAAATCTTGGTTGGTTGCAGCCAGAAGAATGTCATCCATATAATGTAATAATATAATAAATGTAATAAATATAATCCTTATATTTATTTCTAACAGGTTGGAGGGCTTTGGCCACAAACACTTGACACATAGTAGGACTATTTGTCATTCCTTGAGGGAGGAATACCCAATGATATCTAGGCATGTGTTCCTTAAAATTAATAGAAGGTATACTAAAGGCAAAGTGTTTGCAATCTTGTTTATAAAGAGGGAATAGAAAAAAAAACATAAAACCTTAAGATTTGTAACTACAAGAAACCAATCCCTAGGGATGGCAACAGGGGAGGGCAACCCAGGCTGGGTGGCACGCAAGGGCTCCATGGTAGAGTTAATTTGTTGTCAACTCCTGCAAAAGTCTCCATTTACCTGATTATTCCCTGATTAGAAAAAAAATGGGAGTATTCCAAGGGAAGGTGGAGGGAACAATATGTCCTGCCTAGCTGTTCTTGAACCAAGGCATGGGTAGCCTAGATTTTTCCTTAGAGTGGGGCCACTGTTCAACCCACACTGGCTTATCAGATATCCAGGTAATGGGAATAGGTGGAATACAAGACTGTGCAATAGCGGCCCTTAGGATAAATTTATATTTCCCAGACCTATATGGTTTTCTGATAGTCACACAACTTGATCCTCAGCATTAAGGCATGATGTATGACCCTGACTATGCCTTCTAAGTCCATCTTCTGGTTTCCACTCCATTCTATTCATAATGCAGTCTACAGGACAAGTAGTCAAAACAGCCCCCATACCCAGCAGGATATAATGACCCCAAAGATTACAGGCAAATGGTTTAAAACAAAAGGTTGAAATGTCCCTTTATGACCCTCTTCATCCTTCCAAAGTAATATCCTACTGCTGTTCCAAGGAGCAGTAGAGATTCCTATCCCATGAAGAATAAATGAAGATTGATCCAGTGGCCAGTTCTTTGGCCAATGTATCCTGGAAATAACAGAAGTATCTGCTCCTGAATCTAGAATACCCTTATGGGTTTTCCTTCTATAAATAACATTATTGTAGGTCGATCTTCAAAGGTAGAAGTCCAACAGACCAATTGACCTGTAGAACTGAACCCTGCATTTCCTTGGGAAGGTCAGATGGCAGGATTACAGGTCCTATATTGGGGCATAAGTACAGCTGGGCTATTCTTTTTCCTTCTGGAATGACCAAGACTCCTCTTTCTGCTGACACCATAATCTTTATCTCTCCTGTATAATCTGGATCTATAACCTCTGGCAAAATTCTAATGCCTTTCATACATGCACTACTTCTACCCAGAACTAGTTCTACACTATTTTTAGGAATTGGGCCAAAAACTCCTGTGCCTAAGGCTTGGGGCCCCATTTGAGGTGTCAGTACTGCTCTGGAGGTGGTGAACAGGTCCAATCCTGTGCTTCCTGGTGTTCCCTTTGGGAGGTCTGTAATGTGTAAGGGTTGTTTTGTGGAATGAATCAAATGGAATTGGTAACATTGTTCATTGCTCCATACACTCTGGTTTGGGGGCCCAGCAGCGGGGCCCTTCGCCCATTTCCCTGTTGAGAGATTGGGTTACCATCGATGTTCATCTTTGATCTCCCAATGCCTGCCCTTGTGGCACTTTGGGCAGATGACAGAGATGGTCTTAGCTTTGTTCTTGGGGCATTCTTTTCTGAAATGGCAGGACTGACCACATTTAAAACAACCTTTGTTATTTTTAATTACCTTTCTGTATAGCAGCAGCTAAAATTGTCCCAAAATATGATTCCCATCAATATCCTTACAAATCCTAATAAAATCATTAAGAGACTTCTGGCGATAAGGTCGAAGAGCTTCCTTACAATATTTATTAGCATTTTCAAAGGCTATTACAACAGGTATGGCAGTTTCTACTGAGCCAAAAATCCAGCCAGCTGTAACAGGTGATCTACAAAATCTTGAAAAGGCTCAGAGGGTCCTTGTAGGACCTTGGTCAATTGTTATCCTACAGCCTTGTTAGGCAAAGCCTTCCAGGCCCTAAGTGCAGTGGTAGCAATTTTTGCATAAACAGTTTGGTCATATGCTATTTGTGCTGGCAGGTTATCGTAAGTGCCAGCTCCAGTAAGCATATCAACATTTCTTTGGGGAAAACCTGCCTGTGCATTCATTTTGGCCGTGGTGATGCATGCCTCCTGAAATTCCCCTCACCATAACAAATAATTTCCTGCATTAAGCATTGCTCCAGCAAGCTGTTGCCAATCGCTCGGGGTAAGATTAAGTGCTGAGAAGCACTCCATCATAGCTATTGTGAATGGAGCCAAAGGGCCATAACTGCAGACAGCCACTTTCAATTGTTTAAACTACTTAAAGGTAAGGGGCACATGCTGCTGCATCACCTGTCCTGGATTATTAGGATAAGGGACTTCTGTAACAGGGAAACCCAATGACTTCCCAAAAACTACCCCTCTAGGAGATGAAGCATTAAGATCAGAAACACAAGTAGTATAATCCTCATAAGCAGGGGTTGCAGATGCAGGCAGGGGGCAAGTTTTATTTTTTATGCCCTCAAGTTCTTCCTTCATTCCCATCTCCCTTAACTGCTTTTGTAAATCTTTAATTTCCTCTTCACACTCCTTTTCTTCCTTAAAATGATCCTCACTCTCTTCCTCCCTATCACTGGACTCAGATCCCTTAGCAAGAGTTTGACGAGAAATCTCACCTTGTGCGGTTGCAAAGGTTTTCTCTGTCTCTGATATTTGTTCCTTAACCTAGACGTTCTTACTCAAGAGGGCATCCTTGACTAATCTCCATAAGGAAAAGACTGACATAGGCACTCCATCTGGCACTTTCTTCTGAAGAGTATTTTGTAAATCACTCTTTACTAGTTCCCAATCAGGAATGTTTAATCCCCCACTAGTCAAAAACCAGGGACTAGTCCTTTCTAAGACCCTGCTAAAACTGCGAATTGTCTTTGTTTTAATGTCTGTGCCTTGCTGTCTCAATAACTGAGTGAGTTGGTCCTGTAAAAGTAATGAGGAACTTGAAATCCTCATTCTGATAGTCACTTACCTACAGTAGCGCTACTTACTTTTGATTCGGCACTGTCAACCCCAATGCTCTCCTCCTTGTCTTGTGGCCACAATCTTCAGGAGAGGTCCATGCAGATGTATCTGCTTTCAGGATGTCTCTGCTTTCCTGGATCTAGGTGGAACCTCCAATTGTCACTGGCGCCAGCACCAGTGACCGAAGAACCAGACCAGGCGAGAGTCTGCAGATTAAGAAGGACACAACTCTGGTCATTTGGTAGAAGCAAATGCCATCGGTTTATTGCAGCCAGCAGTTTATATACAAGAGAAGATGGGAAAACACCACCTGCTAGCAGAATGCACTCCCACGCCCTATCATAAACAAGGAAACCACAAACCCCACCCACGGCCAAAGAAGCAAGAAGGGGATGAGGGCAAGGCATAATGTTTCAATAACAAGAAAGGATCATAGCAGGATGCTAGTGGGAGAGGCTTAGAAAAACAGGAGGTACCTGTGGTTATGCTGGAAAACAACTCACAGAGACCTCGTGGGGGCTGGGTCCCAACAGATACTGCAGTTTAGTAGTCAGGCTACAGATCCCACATGCCTTTAGTACCACGGAAACTGTCAGAGGCCTGAAAGAAAATAGTACTTGGTGTTCCTTTAGAAATCTCAAGGAAGGACAACAAGATGTGCCTGGTAGGAGTCACCTAGCTACTCTTGATGGTTATAAGCTGTACTTCTTCTGTCATCATGAAAACCTTGACAGCCCTTTCCCCCTGTCACACCTGAACACTGCTGTGTTCCCTACTTTACTTGCTTAAGGCAATGGTTTAATTATTCACTATACCCAAGATAAATAATAAATGGGTGTTTATTGGGGAACACTTTCACAGAAAAATACAAAGAACTATGGGAGCGTTTCTCTGCCCTTCCTACCTGATGGGCTGACCTTCCAGGAAGATTGTACAAACAGAAGCCATGGCTCAAGCTTCCCTCTTTCTGCTTCCATTTGCCTAAAGCCACGCCCAAAGACACCTCTACAACTTGCTGCTTTTACTGAAGTTTGAGTTTCCAGTCTTGTTTTTATTTTATTTATTTTCCTGGTTTGGATTATCACTTCTGAGATTAATAATAAAAAGGTAATAATCTTCCAAATATACCCCCACATGCCCTCCAATTCCATGTCTAGTGAAGCATTAATTGTCAGCACTGGATTGTCTTGTAGGTTCCCAATCACCATCTTGTCCAAAAATGACTCCATGTCCATTAGGCTGCGTTTAGAAGCATGTTTCTCTGCTCAAATTCTCCATCTTGCACAATGATGTCATTTGCTAACTTCTAACGCATCAGCATTGGAGCAACAATCCTGTAACCTGCCACAACCATTTACTGAGCTGTTCTTTTATCTTCTGTGGTCTTTGCTTTATTGTGAGTGCACTGGACCATGGTGTGCTTTTCTGTCCCACTTTCTTTTCCAGTTACTTCTGGCTTTGTGTTTCTGAGACTATAATTCTCAAAAGTCAGACTATTAATTTCCTATTTAGAAACATCTGCCATCTTCCTATCGCATCTAAGACAAAAATCCAAACGAAGCAATTGGAACACTTTGTACAAACATAGCTCTTGTACATAATATAGCAATATAATATATTTGTGTGTAGAATGGTATGTGTGTACACACATGTGTGGATGTACTTTGTGTGCATACAGTGCATCTGTGGAGACTAAAGGTTGATGTTGGATGTCTTCCTAACTGGTTGGTTACCTTATTGTTTTGAATCAATTTTTGAACCAGGAGACCACTGATTTGGCTATCTGCCTGGCTAGCAAACCCCATGATCCTCCTCTCCACTGTGGTTACAGGTATGTGTTGCCATGCCTGGATTTTAATGTAGATGCCAGAGATCTGTATTCAGGTCCTCATGCTTTCACGGCCTACACATTACTAATGATCCAATCCTAGACCATAGTTTTTAATGAAAATAACATTACTGTGGCTTTATCTATGTCCTGATCATATATATGAGTAATCCAAGAGCCCCATTTGCAGAGTTAAAATGAGCAAGTCATCTTTGAAAGTGCAAACTAAAGCTGAAGAAGATGGCATTTTTCATTTGAAAGCTCTTTCTTTGTACCCTCTTCATCATCCCGGGGCTGATCTAATTCTTACACCCCCATTTATTCCCTCTTCTTAGATTCAGACTTGAAGGAGTGTAGCTATGATGCTGGAGGAGAGCATGCCAGGAGGAACAAGTCATCAGGTTCTGAATTTAGATGGATCGCTTAAAACAAATCTAACCAAAATAAAGCAAAATTATAAACCTTTCATACTGCCAAGCTACATACCCTGGCAGAGTCTCCAGTGAGCTTTTGATCAGGGGAATCATGCTCCATCAAAACTCACATGTAGAAATTCTATTCCTCAACCCTCTGAGTATGAGTGTGTTTGGAGTTGGGGTCTTTGAATTAAGGAGAATGAGATCAATAGGATGAATTTTTATAGGAGGAGAAAACTAGACAGAAGGATAATTGCATGAGGATGGAGGGAGAAGGAGGCTGTCTTCCCACCCAAACAAGAGAGGAGAGTCTCACAAGAAGCTAAGCATGCCAGTGCATTAATCTCTGAGTCTAACACAGTGAGGACATGGGTTTCTATGGTGATAACCACTCATCATACAGAGCTTCATCATGGCCATTCTAGCAAACTCATAGAATCCACAAACACTGCCTGGTATGGTGTTTTGCATTATTATCATGTACCCCGCATTGTTCTATGTGGTTTGTATATATTTAACTTATTTAGTGTTTAGAATAGGTGTAAAAAGGTTCTATTTATACCTCTGTTGTGTGGGTGAACAGGCTCCAGTATGGACAAGCTAGTTAATGTTATTGAGTACAATAGCTAGAAACTGGAGGGACTGTGATTTGTAGCTGTGACAGGTTTAAATACAACCTGTGCTGCCTATGGAACTTCTTTCTACTCTCAGGGTTAGGATGCTCCTGTCTTCATGCTTTCTTAGTTTAAACAGGGTGTCACTCTCCTTGTTCGTAAGCAGTGTTAGTCCTCTTCTGTGGCTCAGATTAACAATCTTCTTCTTTGTGGGCCAATTGTACTGCATGACAATCCGTGTTGGCTAACTGATTGTAATTGAGGTGTCTGTCTCACTCTCAGAACTCATGGGATTGGGGAAAGCTATACTTAACACTGTCTTCTGCAGTATGGAGCAGTGGTGGGTAGCATACTACGGTGAAAGTGGGACTTGTCAGTCTGTGCTACAAAGCATAAAACCCACTCTGCTGGATACCGAAACCTCTAAATCATTTTGTGCATCTACAATGCCTCAAAAACATACAATGACATAAAAACTAACCATCCTGAATCCATTATAACCTTCTGCATAAGGAAGAGACGTGTGAGCCCAGTTTTGCTCCTAAGGCAGTGCTTGAGGCTGTTGAGCTGCTGGGCTCACCCATTTCACTCTGTATTGATAGGGTGGATGTAGCTAAGGAACACATCTGGGCAGCCACATTTCTCAACCATTTCATCTTGTCAATGAACAAACATTTCTGCTATTCCTTTTCATCAGCAAGTGTTTCCACTTTTTGAAGTGCTTGCTGCCTTTGGAGAGGAGAATTCTGCGGAGTATCCTTCAAACCTGAACTTAGCTGCTCTTATAATATAAGCTCCTGGTTGGAAACCTTGAAATGATGATTAGCCATATCTGGGTGGCTAGATGATTCAACTTTATTGACACCAAAGTGCTAAAAAAGACAACTGTGGGCTGGAAAAATGCTCAGTTGTTAAGAACACTATCTTCTCATCCAGAGAAGCAGAGTTTGATGCCCAGCACCCCTATACCAAGGCTCATAACCCTCTGTAACTCCAGTCTTGGAAAATTCAAATGCCCTCTTCTGGCTTCTACATACACAAAGTGTGCGCATGCACACACACACACACACACACACACACACACACACACACACACACACAACACAGGCAAAATATCTACACCCATATAAATAAATAATTTAAAAATTTATAAAAAGAAAACTAAAACTAGAGCTACAACCAATGTTTCCTAAGAGTTCCCCAAAGTGGCTATACAAATTTATACTCCAAAAAATATATGGGAACTCTAGATGCTCTGTTAACATTGCTAACTGGTGTTGTCAGTCTTTGGTGGTGGTGGTGGTGGTGGTGGTGGTGTGTGTGTGTGTGTGTGTGTGTGTGTGTGTGTGTGTGTAGTTATGTGCATGTGTGTGCAGGAGCCAAAGGAGTCACAAGAGGCAGTAGGAGCCCTGGAGCTGGAGCCACAAGTGGCGCTGTGAGCCTCCTGAGGCTGATAGTAGGAACAGAACTCAGGTCCTCTGCAAGAGCAGTACACACTCCTAGTAGCTGAAGCATCTCTTCAGCCCCAGTCTTCAGTGCTTTCATTGAGCTGCTTTTGTACATTTACAGCTCTGCACATCATTTTATTTCCCTAATGGGGCTTAGCAGCTTTGTATATATTTAGACCCATGTGGTCTGTGTAGAATATCAGTATGTGTCTTTTTGCCCCTTTTCCTACTGAATTGTCTGTTTTCTGTAATGACTTGTGGAAACTCTACAGTTTTTCCATTTGTGGGGCAAAAATATGAGTATTTTTATCTGATTATACTCTTTCTGCTTTTATTACACTTTGTGATAGTTTATGCCAGAGTGGCTCTTATAAGCCATATATTTGGATGCTTAATTCCTACTTGGATTATTTAGGAAGGAGTAGGAGGTATGTTCTTGTTGGAGGAGGTATGTTACTGGGAGGTGGGCTTTGACTTTTCAAACATCTATTCCAGGCCCAGTCTCACCTTCTGCCTGCTCCAACATCATGCCTGCCTGCCAGCCTGTTGCCTTGTTCCCCACAATGATGTTCATGGATTAGTTCTATGAAACTGGAAGCAAATCCTAATTAAATCCTCCCTTTTATGTTGCCTTGATCATAGTGTTTCATCAAAGAAACGGAACAGTAACTAAGATATCCTTCTTAATTTTAATGTAGTTTATCAATCAGCATTTAATCAACACTAGAACTATGCATCTATCATATCATGTCACCCCAATATAAGATAGGAAATGAGAAAAGTTCCTTTTA